CGGGCCGGGCGGGGCGGCTTCTCTGCGCACCCGTGGGAGCCCGGACCCAGAAAGTTTCCGAGTGTCGCAACCCCAAATTGGTGGCCAGGGCAGGCCCTCGCGGTCCAGGGGCGGTCAGAGGTGAAAGGTCACCGAAAGGGGCAGGCAGCGGCTGGGGAAGCCGACCAGGAGGAACCCTCACCACGAGGGGAAACTGATCCTCCAGAACCAAGTTGGAAAGACTTGGGTTCTGAAAGTGTTTGTCCCGGAATCTTAAGCATCTCAGAGAGGAGCGTGGAGGGGACCACACTGGTCCTCAAGCTTTTTGGGATAGGAGGACTTTTTAGCTACGGGCTTAAAACAAGGTACGCCTTGTTAGAAGCCCGGGTGAAGAGCCCTTGTCTTTTCTTCGGACTCCTCTTACACAGGGGTAAAGTGAGGTCGTGGAAGATGAGGGCTTCGCGGTTGGGTCTCACCCCTACTTCCATCTGCCAAGGTCTGGGTAGGGCAGGTCCAGGCAGTACTAGGTAGGGCTCTGCTTTTGCCAGGGACTCCGCCTAGGGCCCTTTCCATTCCATAGCTTTCCTGAAGAAACTCCAGAAGGTCTTTGAGAACCGAGTTAGCACCTTTCGCCATCCCAACGCCTGCAATATGCCCGGGGGCTTCTGTGCCTCCTGTCCCACCAGTTTTCCTTTCTCCTCGGTGCGCTTTTCTGAGTTTAGAGAGAAAAGTCCTACGGGTGATTGTTGCTACATTTCTGTCCTTAAAGCACAGGGTTTCTGATTATGTTTGCATGGGCTTTGGCTCCAGGACAGGGTTGCTCCGTACTGGGCTGACCAGATGGGCAGCTCATGAAGAGGTCAGCTTCTCACCTAATCACCCTTAAGGCTGCATGTCATTTTGGCTTAGTGTGGAACTGGTCCTTGCAAATTCTTTAGTTTCCCATTTATGAATTAATGAGGGGGTCTGGATACTCAGGCAGCACATGGCAAAATGTCAAACCTGTGTGAATGCTCAAGAACTTTTGACTGGCTTATTTTAGACTTTTTTTTTTTTTTT